TAAGGATCTCATGGAAGAACTACTTGTGTTTGTAAATAAACATAATCATGTTCTTAGAAATAAGAGACGTCAATCGACTATTGGTATTTAGCACCCGTTTTGGACAGCAATGGACCCTACTAATTCATTCTCCAATGAGTTTGGGATGCATTCATTTAACCTTATGAACGTTACTATTACCTTACAAGTAGTCCAACATAAAATTATTCACAACGATATTAGTTCAAAAGAAGAGGGAGCATAATAGGCCCATGTTTGGTAATGATTTAAATCCAGATTTTAGTCTAAGTCAAAGTCTGTTTCTCTCTTCATCTTTGAATTCCTATCTAACGATCCAGGACGCAATCTTGGACTTGATAATTACTTTTAATCACATATTTAATAAGTCCCACAACTTTTCAACTGTACATTTCATCAACTTTTATAGAAATTCATTAAAAATTCGATTTTAATCCCCACGAAACAGGCCAAGTGCTCATAGAAATTAGTGGTCCATTTGCCATTTTACACTAGATTATTGGTTCGGACAATCATTTGTGTTTTTTTAAGCTAACTCGAGTCGCTAAGGATTTAAGATACCAATATAATATCATGGTACGTACACAAGTGGCAATAAGTAATTGGGATCATTTGCCTGATGGGGTAACCCACTTTTCAAAAGTGGTTTCTACCAATTCATTGATAATGTTTTTAATTTTTAATCAATGAAAAGTAAGCTGCAAAAGCTTCTAAAAATAAGTATTTTTGGTCCAATGTTTTATTCAAGTAATGCACACCGTCAACCCAAATTAATCATGTTATATGCACTCACAAAACTTTATAAATAAAAGCTATTAATGTCGATTATTGCAGAACGGTGCCAATGATTCCAAAATAGTCAGTGTGTCATAAAACTAATTATATATTTTTGTATCAATTAATATAATGGTGTGGATATATTCATCCAAAGTTTGTATAATCCTATATTATAGTCAATGGAGTGATATTATTGTTGACCTCATAATTTGGCGATCACTCTCATTTACGTGTATGTTACTTGCAGATTTGAACAAAGTGTTTGATGCATGTGGCTATAGCTCAATATGAGAAACGATCATTGGCACTTCGATACTTAAGTCGGTCAGTGATAGTTTTGGGTATGAAAGAGACAAAATGGAGAAAAGTAATAGAATCCTGGTTGAAGAGAATAAAATTTGTCACATAATAATGTTGTTCAAAATTGCATCTTCTTTGAGAGACACTAAGTGTGACCTTTTATATTAAGAGGGAAGATGTAACGTCCATTGAATGCTTTTACACTTGGTCTCATACTAAAGATCCACGATCAAACTTTACAAGTGTCAATCCCAACTGTTCTAGACTTGTGACCACCTTAAATGGGTTGAAAAGTAGCCGCCCTATGTCATTAGCCTACAATCCAAAAAGTAGGTTGAAAAGTTGATTAAACGTATCTACTATAACACCGTCAGATCTGTCGACTATAGAGCATC